TTTCAAAATATTTCTGAGCCAGAGATGCAGGAGTTATGTAGATGAGGCTGAGCTTCCCATGGCAGTTGATCTCTGCATTATGTCCAACTGCGGTTTTCTGGAATGGTTTCCACCTGTTGTAAGAGAGGCTTCTTTAGGTGAACCCAAAGAAAAACATATAGTCATCCGCCTGGATATGGGAAGTAGACAAGATTGCCGGGCAAAACCTGGGATCTTGGGGGTGAGGTGGCATGGGCTAAGGGGAAATGGGGTGAGAAACGTGAGAAGGGGAGAATGGGGGGAGCTTGGGGGAAGGGTGGACACAGGAGCAGAGAAATATATATCCTAATTAAGGGAGCCATCTTAGGGTTGGCAAGATACTTTACTCTAGAGGGGCTCGCAGGTGTCCAGGGAGATGTCCCCAGCTAGTACCTTGAGCAACTGAGGAGAGGGAACCTGAAATGACCCTATCCTATAGCCATACTGATGAATATCTTGCTTATCACCATAGAACCTTCATCTGGAGATGGATGGAGATAGAGACAGAGACCCACACTGGAGCACCGGACTGAGCTCTTAAGATCCAAATGAGGAGCAGAAGGAGGGAGAACATGAGCAAGGAAGTCAGGACCACGAGGGGTGCACCCACCTGCTGTGACAGTGGAACTGATCTATTGGGAGCTTACCAAGGCCAGCGGGACTGTGACTGAATAAGCATGGGATGAAACTGGACTTTCTGAACATGGCGGACAATGAAGGCTGATGAGAAGCCAAGGACAATGGCACTAGGTTTCGATCCTAATACATGAACTGGCTTTGTGGGAGCCTAGCCTGTTTGGATGCTCACCTTATTGATCCTGGATAGAAGTTGGAGGACTTTGGACTTCCCGCAGGGCAGGGAATCTGGACTGCTCTTCATTCTCGAGAGGGAGTGGGAATGGAGTGGGGGGGAGGGGGAGAGGGGCAGGAGAGTGGGGGAAGGGGGCAAGTGTGCGTGGAGGGGAAATGGGAAACCGGGAGGAGGTGAAATTTTTTTTTCAACAACTAAAAAAAAAAATAAAAAATAAAAAAAAGAAAGTGAAAAAAAAGAGAGGCTTCTTTGATGAGGGATACCCAAATTTATTAGTATTTTTCTTCTCTAACATATTTTGACACAATAATTGTAAGGCTGTTGATGAGTGTTTTATTTTTGACTCTTCTAATATATTCCATTGGTTACATCCCTTTTCATACCAGTCCCATGCTGGTTGTAGCACCATAGCCCAGGAGTTCAATTGGAAATGAGAAAACCTGACACCTTTAGCATTGTTCTTTTTTTAATTTTTATTTTTATATATTTTTAATTGAAAATTTCCACCTCCTCCCCTCTTCCCATTTACCTCCCCTCCCTTTCCCTCTCCCCCTCCCTCTCCAGGCCAAGGAGCAATCAGGGTTCCCTACTCTATGGGAAGTCCAAGGTCCTCCCTGCTCCCCCTAGGTCCAGGAATGTGAGCATCCAAACAAACTAGGCTCCCACAAAGCCTGTCCATGCAGTACAATCAAAACCCAGCACCATTGTCCTTGGCTTCTCCGTCAGCCTCCACCATCAGCCACATTCAGAGAGTCCGGTTTGAATACATGCTCCATCAGTTCCAGTCTAACTGGCCTTGGTGATCTCCAATCAGCTCAGTCCCACTATGTCAGTGGGTGGACGCACCCCTCGTGGTCCTGACTTCCTTGCTTATGTTCTCCCTCCTTCTGCTCTTCATATGGACCTTGGATGCTCAGTTCGGTGCTCCAATGTGGGTCTCTGTCTCTATCTCTATCCATCACTAGATGAAAGTTCTATGGTGATATGCAAGATATTCATCAGTGTGGCTATAGGACAGGGCCAGTTCAGGTGCCCTTTCTTCAGCTGCTCAAGGAACAAGCTGGTGTGGCACATATACACTTTAGAGTTCTACCGAGTGGTAAAAAACAATGACATCTTGAATTTTGCATGCAAATGGATGGAAATAGAAAACACTATCGTGAGTGAGGTAACCCAGACCCAAAAAGATGAATATGCTATTTACTCACTCATAAGTGGATTCTAGCCATAAATAAAGGCATTGAGCCTATAATTTGTGATCCTAGAGAAGCTAAATAAGAAGGTGAACCCAAAGAATAACATTGTTCCTTTTGCTATGGATTGTTTAGGATAATCAGGGGCTCTGGTTTTTCCATTCAAATATGGGATCTTTTTCCTATTTCCTTAAAGATTAGTTTCTGGAATCTTGATAGGAATTTCAATGAATCTGTAGCCTTTCTCAGTAATATGGATATTTAACAACATTTATCCTGCTGATTCATGAGAATAGCTGTTTTCCCTAGCTTCTAACGTCTTACTCATTTTCTTCCCTCAAAGCATTAAAGGTTTCATGGTGGGAATCCTACACCTCTTCGTTTAGGGGGTTTTCACACTGACACAGTCTACGCTCACCTGGAGCATAGTTTCAGTGAGGTATTGTCTATGTTGGGTGTCCTGTGTGGATGTCTAAGGGAAGATGTCTTAATTGGGGTAGCAGATGCGGGAAGTCCCAGACACTGTACGCAGCACCCTTTCCTAGGCAGAGAACCTTGAACTGTATGAGTGAGAAATCAGCCCGAGCACAACAGAGAAGCAGTGAGCATGCGTGCATTTGGGACTTCCTGCTCTTGAGCATGGTGTGATGCATCTAACTACTGCAAGTTCTGTAACTCTAACTACACCACAATGAAGAGTTGTAACTCGGAACTGTGTTAAAATAAACCTTTTCCCCCTTGGGCTGTCTTTGTCAGGATATTTTATCACGTTAATAGCAATGCATGTAGGGCAGGCACATCTACAGGCATTTATTTTGAATGGCATTGTATTCTAAATTCCCTCTCCATGTGTTCCTTAGGGGTGTATAGAAATGCTGCCGGGTCTTGCACATTCTGTTTCACATTCTAGTGATTCTCTAGTAGAGTGTCCCTGATCCAAGAGTTTTCTGGTAGAGACTGTTTTAATTATTGAGTCATATCATCTTCAAACAGGGACAGTTGATTTCTTCCTATGTTATTTGTATTGTGTTTCTTTTTATGCTGTTTTTCTTGGCTAAAAGTCCAGGCAACTCTAGCAGTTAGTTTTCAGTTTCTGTGATAAAGTTCTCTGACAAGAAGCAAGTTAGGAAAGAATGGGTTCATTCTGGTTTAAAGTTCAGAGTGACAAAGTCCATCACAGCAGGAAGGGAAGGTGACAGGCAAGAGTGACATACCAGCAGGACAGGAACAAGAATGAGCACATTTTCATCTGTGAAGAAGGGAAATATGATGTGGGGCCAGGCTTTAAAACCTCAGATCTTCTCAGTGATGTCTTCTGCCAAAAGTGGTTCTCAACCTGTGGGTCGCGACCCCGATCACAGGGATCTCACATCAGCTGCCCCGCATACCAGATGTTTACATGACGACTCATAACAGTAGCAAAATTACAGCTATGAAGTAACAATGAAAATGATTTTAAGGTTGCGGGGGTGAGGGTCACTACAACGTGGGGAACTGTATAAAGGGCTACAGCATTAGGAAGGTGGAGACCTACTGTCCTAAAGCTTCATAGCCTTCACAGACATCTCCACACTGGGGACCAAGTGTTCAAATACTGAAGCCTATGGGAGACATTTCTTATGCTCAGTCACTACAGACACACCAGTGAAAAGCACTTAGAGAACAGACCCACTTCTCTCCTCCTTATTATTAGAGGAAACTGAGAGAGTTGTGGGTGGGGAGGGGCACAGGCCAGGCTTTCCTAGTAGCCTGATAGAAATCTAAGCCTTAGTTTTGGTTCACTAAAACGGAGCAGAGCTAAACAGGCAGTTCTCAAAACAAACAAACAAACAAACAAACAAAAAAAAACCCTACTACCTACAGGCAACCAACTAGCAGATACCCCCAGTCTTCTGCTGGCTCTGCAGGTCCCCAAAGCCCTTCTGCTGGCTCAGCAGATGCCTCACAGCCTTTTGCAAGCTAAAGACGGCTTTCCCTACTCTACTGCAGAAAGGTTCCTAACCACTAAGTCCTCCCACCAATCAGTCCCCAGACTAATCTGTCCCCCACCAGTCAGCCCTACATTAATCCCTCCTTTCTGGAATTCCCCTAACTCTGCTTAAGAGGAGGTTGTGACCTTCTTTGTGATGTTGCCCTGTGCCACTTAGTGTTGGAATTAATAAAGCGCTCTTGTTACTGCTTGCATGGCTGTTGGTCTTTCCTTGGGGGCTTCACTCAGTCCCTCACAGAAACAGTTTACTTTTCTTGTGTTAGAATCCTGTTTTTCATTTTATTAATTTTGACCTAAGAAATATTTATTATGTTCTTTATTTCTTTGATTGGTATGTTCATCAAGACGTTTTGCCATTAAGAGAAGTATTTCAAATACTTCCCCAAACACCCAGAAAACAAAAATCAAACAAACAAAAAGCCTCCGAAGTTCGTCAAAACCCTTTTCTTCATTTGAGATGATTATGATTTCTTTCCCTGAATCTATTTACATGCTGAGCTCTATTCATTGAGTGGCATTTGTGGGGCCATCTTTATTTCCTAATTCATGTAGACACAAAGCCCTGGTGGCAGCAGGGCTGGGAGCACATCCCAGCCTCAGACCCCCAGCAGGATAATGCCAAGGATGCTGAATAGAGATGGTGATGAGAAAGTAGCTGAGCTCTTCACCTGAGAGGACTCAGCATGTCCAGGGAGAGACACTCTCCTTTCTTTGTCTCACTTTAAGGTTGTGCGGGAGGCAGCTGTGGGTGTGTGTCCCAGAGTGGAGGGTAGCAGGCCTCTTAAGCCCCTGGTTTTAAAAGATCACACAAAGGAGTATCGACATTTGCAATTAATTTAATGAGTAGAAAGAAATGCCTTTGAGATTCCAACAATAGTCTTGCAATTTATAGGCAGAAAGCTAAAATCAAGAAGGAAAAGTTATGATTTGTGGTATCAGCTGCTGGCTCATGATCATTCTCTTCATTACTGTGAGCCAAAGGTCTCGTGGAACTTTTAGGCAGACTGTGGACAGTCTTTACTGTCATATACAGCATTCTGAAAAATAAACGAGGAAGTGACTTACATTATGATACTGAAAAGAAAAAAATCTAATTTTTTTAAAAATTATTTTTTCAGTATTTTCAATTACTATTTAATATTCCAGAAAGCTTCCAGACAAAAATCCAATTAGGTGCATGTGTCCTATCATTTAAGAGACAAGAAACCATGACAACAACAGCATTAACAAACCCAGATGTTTTTGGCTCCTTCTTCAAAGATTCCCATTTATTTCCTTCTCCTCTAACCTCCAACCTCCCCCAGTCCAGCTGTTTCAATAGGAATTCATTCTATACCCATCTGAAGCTAGAGCTCTCTGTGGCTGAAGGTATCTGATGATCCTCACTTTGACCTGCTCTGCTACTTTTCTCTCACCACTTGCTCAATGGAAAGCTTGCTTAACAGAAAGGGTGGCTTTTAAAAATTCTTCAGTGCTCTAAAAATTGAGATTTGTTAGAAGCGAATAGAGAGCCCTCACCAGTACTTTCAGGCCCTGTGTATTCCTGTGGTTTTAGTTAAAACTGGGCAGATTTCTAAGATTTGGCCCCTGTGAGATGCTTAAATGAAACAGGAAAACTTTAGATAAATTCTTGGAGCTACATTTTTATGCTTACAAAGAGATTATTATTATTATTATTATTATTATTATTTATAGACACTCTTAGTCATGACATCCTCATACTGGGGTCTTCTGCACTTTCACTGAGTTGGTACCAAATGCAAGGGTCCCTGGTCACTGACACAAAGCAGGACTACTTAAGAGTCAAGTGTATTTTTCTTTGACTAAAGAATTTGAGAGCTTTCTCTGTGTCATGACATGCTTATGTGTGTAATTGTGTGCATGCATGAGTGAACCTGTGTTTGTGTGATTGGGAGGTAATGGATAAGAGAGTGATCTCTGGGCGATCTCCTTTGTTTTTGTATTTTTCTTTAATTATTTTAAAATCCTCAAAATAATATGGAATATCACTGTGTCTTTCAATGGCTCCTCTCAAAAAATTGTCACCACTAAATCAAATTATATTGTTTAAAAATAGTACACAGACAATGTTTGCTTGGACCTTATCAGTCACAACATTGGAAAATGTTTTTCCTCATGAGTAGAAATACATACATATGAATAAATAAATATGTATATGTAAATGTATGTAAATATAAATGTATAAAATACATAAGCATGTACATATATATGATATATATGTGTGTACATCATACAAATATATATATATAGTAATATAATAGAAAAAAGGGAAAATGTATAATTACCACCATCACTTTAACATTGGTGAGAGTCTCCTCAGACTGGTCCAGGAAACATTGTNTATGTACATATATATGGCGTGTGCATATATGTGTATGTCATACAAATATATATATATAGTAATATAATAGAAAAAAGGGAAAATGTATAATTACCACCATCACTTTAACATTGGTGAGAGTCTCCTCAGACTGGTCCAGGAAACATTGTTTCAATTTGGCCAAAGCCTTTTGGTCATAAGGAAGAGGTGCATATGACTTAACCACACCCTGATACTCAGCCACAGACACCGATGAGTTAATAGTCTGTGCAATGACATCATCCATTGCATGGCAGCCAGAACCTGGAAAGACATGGCATTCATCACTGGAGGTCTGAACTCAATAGTGGTCACCTCTCATCACAAACATCTTGCTGAGTATAAGTAGAGACACAGATTAGCAAAGGTGGTGGGCACTGCCAAATCTGGGACAGAAACTGCAGGTTGCAAGATTCCACTCAGAAACTGCAAACTCTGTCCCTGACATGGCAGCACAGAGAACCAAACCCTCACACAACCTTCACTGAGAAGGACACTGAAGAGATGGCAGGCTGTTGGGCTGGGTATGGTAAGCATTTTGGATCTTTGTTTGATCAAAGCCTGACACATTTTGTTACTGTTTTGAGAACATCATGGAATATGTTCAAACATGCTATAACCATCATGGCTAGAATAGTATCGGCTTTGCTCTGTTAACTTGAGCATCTGAATCACAGAGCAACTTAAACAGAAACTCTGGTACTTGAAGTGACCTCATGCAGAAAATGGAAGCCGACTGCAAGATTCCTTTAGTTTCTGCACACTTGCCCCTAACAAGCCAACAAGGGACATCAAACCTTGCTGACCTTTGTCAGCAATGACACGCAAGAAATTAGAAACTTTGTTCTGATGGGACACAGTGAACTGCTGTGTCTTTCTTTCTTGTAGCCGTGATGCATCTCAGTGTTACTTTGTAAGCCCCGTGAAGTATTTTACAGTAGTTTATAAATATTAGCCGTTGTCACCGTTAACTCTATCATCTGCATCAAAAGTATCATAAACCATAAACTCCTTTACTTGAAGTGATGTCATTGTTCAGCCAGGGAAAGAGAAAGAGGTCAAGGTTAACGCTGATTTTTGTATCAAGTCAACTGAGAACTCCACCTTCTTGTCATTTTGCACCATCCTCTCAGATAAGTAAGACATAGACAAAGCAAATTATACAAAGTCTATTGCACTTGTGACATGTTTGTACTGACTTCATTCTCAAGAACAAAGCTTTACTTCTGTCGTTACTTCAAGTGGATTTGGGGAATGCGAACTCTCCTCTCTACCAGCAGGACTAGGATGTAAGTGGCCCAATGTGAAGGGGTCAGAACAAGCTTTGACAGTCCGTGTCGTGGCTCACAAACTGTTTACTCCTAGGTCTCATGCTGCAGTTTAAGAAGTAACTCCTTCCATGGTTACTAAGTACAATTTTTTTTTAGCAAACCCACTTAGGTCAAGGGTCATTTATTTTTTTTTACCATTTTCTGTAAAATATCTCGTATCCAAATGCAAGAACTGCCATGGATTTCAGGAGAGATGTCATCACCTTGGGACCTCCTGGTTGGTAGTGACACATCACACACAGCCCCAGCGCTGCATCTATGATGCCTCTTTGACTATCTGGACTAGTGTTGAGTTTCAGGGCTATAGAATCAGACACTTTGTGCCACTGTTGACAAGTTCTAGAGCTCAGGCACTATTGCTTCTTCCCATAGAACAGAAACAGTGTGTGGTCTGAAGGTAGCCCACCCCTTCACAGTCTTCACCTCCTACCCCTCCAGAGAACCCACCACCCACCCCTCCAGAGAACCCCCCACCCACCCTTCCACAGAACCCCCCACCCACCCCTCCACAGAACTCACCACCCACCCCTCCACAGAACCTACTGCCCACCCCTCCACAGAACCCACCGCCCACCCCTCCACAGAACCCACTGCCCACCCTCCACAGAACTCACTGCTGGCATAGCAGTAAATGGGGATGGCGGCCAGCATGAAGACCAGGACCAGCTTCATGTTG